CAGCAATGAAATACATTTCATATAGAGAGAGAAACAAATTTTCCAAGCTTTGATCAATGTAGAAAACAAAGCAACGTGCCCAGAGTGGAAAAAGGAAGGATTAGATTACAGAGACTGGCACCAAGTGGTGCCATCAAAAGAAATCAAGAGTATTCAGTGCATATCCTACCAAATTCGTTCGGATGTGCAACTGGGATCGTACTACAAGGATAACCCATTTAAGGGGCAAAATCTGAGCACATCTCCCTACAGCCAAAGGAACATACTTGGCATCACAAGGAGGGGGAAAAACAGCATCTATCATGACATACTCTCATTTTTTTTCTCTTGCATTCCAAGCAAGAGAGAGCAAATCTGGAAAGGAAATGCGAAGTGAGAATCATAATTTAATAGTTCTAGATATTCTGTACATCTTTAAACACGTTCTTAAAAAAACAAGGCTCCACAACTGCACCCAAACAAGTGCTCCTACTCTCAGTGCAGTTTCTGCATCATCCTCTCCACTCAGGTTCATCTTCCACCTCCATCCTCTAACCCCAAAACACTCAATGTATTTAAAAAATAGCTTTAAAACTCTTAGAGCATTTGATTTCCTGTCATTTTAGAAAATGATGTTAGAGGTCTTACGGAGACTTCCTACATCATCTTACTTTTTTTCTAAAAAACAAACTTAATTAAAAACTTACCCTATAAAAGAAAGCAGCTGTAAACGCTGAACCTGACCATCAGCAAACTTGCCCACCTTTGTAATTTCCTAACTGCATTTGCTGCCTCGGTGTGATTACCTACGGAAACGCAATCACACAGGCAGTTGCCCCTTAAACCCTCTGGTCAAATCCAACCAACTTTGACAAGAGACATGGAAGTCTTGGAGTTAAGATGTTCATGTGAATTTGGTGAATGTGAGCAGCTGGAGACAGGACCCAAAGGGAGCACTCAGCACCCTGCACTCACAGCCCAGGACTGGGCTTGAGAGCAATCTGGAGGAAACTCACACTTTTAAGCCAGGGCTGTCCTCTTTGCTGGATCACTGCTCCCAAGGTGAACTGCTCTGGAGTACTGGGAGAAGTTACCAGCATGGTCTGGAGATGTAAATTAACTTTCTATCACGATTCCAAATTTTGCTTGGGCAGACTGGAAGCAGAGGGCTTGCTTCACTGGAAGAAAACCATTTTGTTTCAGTTGCACAAAGACGTGAATGGACAAGAGTGTCCCTTTGTGATGCTACACCATGGCCTGAAAGCCTCACTAGCCACTTTTCTCTGCCCTGTAGCCTGGGAAAGAGATCCCAAAGAAGCTCCCTGACGTGGCTGTGAGGTTTATGGAGTCTCACCAGCACCTGGATGTGTGACAGAGCTTCAGACTTGCCATGGAGGTCTCCAGGCCCACCTGCTCACCAAGGCCTCGCTCACAGCCAGAGATTTCTGCCAAGCACAAACTCCTTGGAAAAGGCAACTCGACCCAGGGGCTCTTGAGTGAGCACACCTAGCAAGGCTCCTGGAGGGAAAAGACTTCAGTCTTAACTCATTGCTGCCTACCTGCTGCTCAACAGTGGCAATAACTCATGGTAATTGCAAGGCACAAGGAGGAAAGGATGTGCGATGGTGCCATCCGTACAGCTCTCCCAGACAAGGCACTGTCCTCTGCAGCTGAGCTGTGTTTGTTTTCCCTCACACCACTGGTATACTTTCTATTTTAGGCAAGGTTCAAAACACCCACCCACCAGGACCTGCCTCACACTAAAGGCAATAGGAACAGCCATCCAGGAGTGGTGGTGGGCACCCACAGCAACATAAACAACAAAGGGCTTCCAGTTGGGACCCCAGGCTGGTTTCCAGCTTGTTTCAGAGGACTGTACCACCAAAGCCCATTTTCATGAAAATGGAGCTTCAGACTAACAAACAGCACCAGCACTTCCAAGCTCTGGGTTACAGACTAATTCCCTGAGCCAGAAGTGTCATTAGCTTGTCAGCCTTACAAAGGCAGCTCACTGCTGATCGCTTTTAACCCAGCTAATCTCAGCCTGAAAGCTTCAGGAATCTAAATAACTCTTGTTTCACAGAAGTTTCATTTCATTCTCATGCTGAAAATAATATACATAAACCAAGCTCATGTCTACACATTTGCACGACTTTATAATAAAAGTTGTGTTTAGATTCTTAACATCTGTTGACATACACAGACTCTGTAAACCTGGCACAGATTTTGAAGCCACAGAATTTTCCATGCATCATGAACATTATCTGCAAGAAGCAATAAAAAAAAAAAAGGCAATGAACACATTAATCATACCAATATCATCTGCAAAACATAAATCTGAAATACCTTTCATGTCAGCTCAACTACTTTTTTTTTTTGGTATTTTTTTGAGTGATGGGTTTTTTTCCACACCTGATTCTACACCATCTGCAAAAGGGCAGCAGGAAGATCACTGAGGAAATGACATTTCTCAGTCCTTTGACTTTTACTGAACACTTTAAATACTGTAAATAGACTATTTATGACATGAAATGAAAGAAGTTGTACCCACAAGTTCAAGTTTTTTTCATTGCAGGACTAAATTCTCCCAAAGTACAAGGCAGGTATAACTTCACTTTTGTCATTTGTTCCCTAGGTTGGAGTAAACACAGTATTTACTAATAGTTATTATAAGCACATGTGCATAATTTAATACAATGAAGCATATATGCATAATTTTAATTTATTTTCAGCTTCACCTTATCAAAAGGCAAATACTGCTCTCTAATACCAGCTCAGGATCTAATGTGCTTGGAATCTGCAGCTGAGCCTGCTCCTGGACTATGGGAACAGGAATGACTTCTGCCCTCTGCAACTGCCAACGGGGACAGTGCAGCTAGTCCATAAAAACCAGCAGGTGAAATTCTGCCTTTAGATATTCACATCTAACCTTGATCCAGCAGAGCTGCACAGAGCTCCCACCTGCCCAGCTTCTTCTTCCAGCTGGGGGTAGAAAATCCAGTTTTGAAGGCAATTCCCAGCCTCTGCTCTCATTGCTGCCTCACATCCACAAAGGGTAACTAAGAATGAGAGACTGTTCCAAAATGTCCACAATTCAAGTGCAATTTTTAAAAAAACTCTTTCTAAGATGACATGTACTAGCAGTATAAATGCATACCTCATCATTTACCAATAAGCATATTTAAATGCACTCATCTTCCTATACTGGTACGTGCTCCATCAATCTTTAAATTTGGAAGACACGTGGATATCTACCCATGTTGTAAGATAAATCTACACTGACAGAAAAAAAAGAAAAGACTTTGTAAATCTTTGCCAAATCAATGGGTTTTCCAGATATGTGCTGGCAGCACGCTGATCTGTCTCCTGGCAGACAGGGACTGCCTTTCCAGATATGTGCTGGCAGCACGCTGACTTGTCTCCTGGCAAACAGGGACTGCCGGAATCCATCTGATCAAACTGACTTATTTATTTACAGTGGGCAAAACTACTTTTTCATTAAATTTGGGGGAAAACATTTCTGGTTGTGCTAAACCAACAAAGAGTTTGACCATAACCAGGCAGAGATGCTGTTTCATGAATATTCAAAGCACAAAGGCTGGAAATCTCAACTCTTCTAAGGGTCACTTCTATCTCATCAGTGTCAAATGTGCTGGTCTCTCCTGGCTGCTCCAGCCCTGACCTGCACATCTCACCAAGGCTTCATGTGAGCTCCCTCTCATGGGCTTGTCTCCTTCACTGCCCTCTGCATGATCTCACATGGTTCTCTTTGCTCTGTATTAACATTCAGGTTTGAAGTGCAATCCAGAAAAAAAGTGTACTCAGGGCTCTGGACGTGCTCCCTGGACCAGCACTGTCCTGCTCACGAGCTGGATTTTCCTGCAGCTGTTCTCTCTCCTGCTTTCACCCAGCTCAGAGGGGCTGGGAACACCTCACCCACCTCTGCTCTACTCCCTGGGCTTTCCTTACTGTGGCAGCTACTGACTGAAACAGCAAAAAAAAAAAAAAGAGCCAGCATTACAAATTGTTGTTTATTCAGCTCACTGTGGTTTCCTAAAACATCTTGGTCTGGGTTTAGGCATAGCCATGTAAATAAACAGCTCACAGCACAGCTCCTGGTCCCTACACACACCAACAAATCCATGGCATTCCCAAGCTGGAGCTTGCTGTGTCCCTCTGTAGTGAGGGAAAGAACTGGTTCAGCAAGAGCCATTGGCCCAACAAACCTCTGGGATTCCTCTCCCTCCCCTCCCTCAGAAATAAACCAGAAGAGAAATTCATGCTCTGGGAACGTGACTTTTTCTAAGCAATGTCATGATTCCTCAGAAGGGAATATTCAGGGGAATGTGGCTGAATGCAGATCTCAAGACAAATTCAGTGTTTCTAAAGCAAGTCTGACATCCAAGACGAGCTCTTGTGAGCTTGAGACGTGGCTCAGGATCCTGTCTCCAAATAAAAACCCAGCGAGGTAAATAAAAACCAGCAGTCTATGTGCTGAGGACACTGCAAGATCAGCCATTATGACTCATTCAAGGACACACTAGATCTCTGTTTTCCTGCTCAAAAGGTGAAATGTGTCCTATTTTACCCACCTTATTTGCCAAAAGCTTCTGTTCTGATATTTATCCATTTTTCTCAAGCTTTCCCTGACAAAAATGACCACACTGTCCATCAGTGACATATTTCCAGCATTCATTTACCAGTGATAGTAGTGAAAAAAATAAATTGGGATCAAACACTAGTTGCCTAATTCCACAGTATTGACCTTGACCTTGACACAATATTATAATCAAGAAACTGTATCATTAGAACAAATCTACTTATCAACTACAAAACTGAGTTAATTTACACCACCTAATGAGATCAGAATCAGAGCAATTCATTGAGGCAAACCCAAGAGGATTTGGCCCCACAAGGATACTCCCAAATTTCTGAATATAAATATTTTCCCATCAGGACTGTATGGAAATTAAAGCAATTACATTTCCTTTATATTAAAATTGTTGTACAACAATAATTACCTGATTAAAATTTTTGAAATTGAACTCCTTGTAGATGGCATCTCTTTCACCCAACTCAGACCAGCCTGAAGCTTTGAGATCCAGTAAAACTTGGTTCCTCTCCTCTGTCGTCAACCAGTGAGACTGGGAAGACTATTGAGGGGAAAAAAAAATAAAGACATGGCACGAGTGAGGCTGAGGTTCTCTTTTGTACAACAATAAGAAAACCACACGATGAAATTGTGGTTACGTGTTCTGCAAAGGTAAAGATGTGGAAAATTCACTGTACAGATTCTTAATGGTTATAATTTCACAGAGCAGTTTAACCTAAAACAGCCCAAACCCACTGATTCTGTTTGGGCAGGTAATATTGGCTAAATGTATAACCAAGAAAATGGCAACAGGCTCTTCTGCAAGAATGAAGACAGACACCAGCACACCTGAATCCTTGGCCACCTGAATTATCCAGACACTGCAGAACCTCAGTTAATTCTCAGATATTCCACTCTCTCAGATAAGTAAAGGATTATTTACATTATTTGCTAAATGTACAATGACAAGGCTCAAACAGGTATCAGGAAATATCTACTTCAAGAAAGAGAAGCAAAACAGGAGATTGTATTCT